CTTGTTTATCTTCAAGCCTTTAAGAACCTAGATGCTATATCTTTTGATAGCCAGGCACCATCAGCTTTCTTCACCATATTTGCTTATGCACCCATTTTTGTCTTCAGTGATCTTGTCAGGAAGGTGAGCATCACAGAATGCCGGGTTATTAGAACAAAGTATTCTTGCATTGAGGCAGTTCTTGAATCGAGGCCCAATGTCCATCTGCTATCTTAATACTTAATATATAAATAGATGTATATAGATCTATTTCCCTATTGCTTTATATATATTTACATATGTACATGCCTGTATTTAGACCTCTATAAATGCCCTTTGCCTCCTAGTTCTTTCCTCTATTTAATAGGAAGGATTTCAAAAAATCCTTTCCTCTGTAGTTATATCTAGCTAAAGCAGCTTGACATAGACAAGAGAATGGGATTGGATTTGGCTGCATTCTCTAATTCTTTGGCATATCTTGCCAGGTTTTTATTATAACAATGAATTATTGTCATAAATTTAGCCAAGAGGTCTGTTCTGTTAAGATGAGATCATACAGAGATCCATGTGAGTCATAAAGGAATAATTAATAGAAATGCCACTAGGCCATTTGTCATCTTACTAAAGCTAATATGCCAGGGAATTATGTGCTTCAAGGTATCAGCGGATCTCACAGGACTGGTTAGGAAGTTTCAGTCTCCGAAGCCCACAGGTGCAGTTTTACCCTGTCCTCTAGGGTTGCTATGAGTCAGAGTTGACTTGAGGACGGTGAATTTGGTGTGTCTTTCTTTTCTGAGTCAGGAAGCAGGGCTAATAAAATACCTGCCCCTTTGGTCACCCTCTTGCAAAGGCAAGAGAGTGGAGCACAAAGGAAACTGTCCAAGGCATTATGCGTGCTGCTACTCTGGATAAATAGCCTCTAAGGGATGATTCAACAACCAAGGCGGGGCAGGAAGGAACCGGGTTGGATTCATCTGGGTTTGCTGCAGTTTGCCAACTGTCAGAGAAAGCAGCACACGGTGGGGAGAAGGACCTAGAATAAGCACTCCCCGGAGTGTTCTCCATCAGAGAGCAGCCTCTCCATGCCAGGGAAGCTGTTTGTTTCCCCATGACTGGTTTCTCTGCTGCTCTAAGGCTGAAGATTATTTCTACTCCAGGATTGCCTGAAAGTCAATTAAAGCTTTCCTCAGGACTCCTGGGAAGGGGTGTGTGTATGCGGGCATTCAGATAGCTAAGTGTAACTGGGTAGAAGCAGCACAGGTAAATATGACCTAGATCTTTCTGGTGCCAGATTCTCATCATCACAGCCCCCAAGTTCCTCACAAAAGGGCTTCTGCATGTCTCAGATAATCCTGGTTTGTGCATTTACTGTGGCACCTCCTACTCAACTCTCAGGTTTTTCTCTGCAACTCCTGGAATTCATTTTCAAATTTCACATTTTAAAGCCAGATGAAGCCTTCCCTTTGTCCTCATCCTGAGTATAGGGGATAAGGAAGGGATAGGGAGGTGCTTCTTGAAATCTGTGCTTCCAAGGGTCACGGTCATTCCTTGGGAACCCAAGGGATAAGGCAGCAAGGAGTATAACACATTTCATCCTTCACCCCCCCC